CATCAAACAATCTCAATATAAATATTAGAGCTGCTTTAATTAAATTACAACAAGGTAAATAAAATTTATAATAAAAATTTTTTATTATTTTATAGTTTTCTAATGATAATTTTTTAAAAAATAAATTAGAACCTGTTCCAGAACCTTTAATGGATACTTCTGAAAATTAATTTCACTATTACTATTTATTTATATTATTATTTTATTATTTGATCAACCAATAAAACTTTCAATTTCTGTATCACAATAAACAAATAAATTGATGTACTTATTTGGAAATGCGCGCATGTTACTTTGTAACACAAATTGAATGTCCACCATGCTGAGCTCCCCTCATTTGTCGTATGTATTATATTATTTATTTTACTGTATTAGTATTAATATTATTGTACAAAGTATCACGTGATCGTTTCATAATATCTTGGTTTTGCGGATATCTTGATTTAGCAGATAATATCGCTAAATCGAGATACAATGTGTATAAAATTTGATTATTGTTTATCCAATTGAATTATTTTACAGAAATTGATAAATTGATTAAAATTGATAGATTATCAAAATCTAAATTATTTATTTTTTTGTTTTTTTTAAAATAAAAAATAACCAAAAAATATCTGTTAATAATAAATATGAAAGTCCTCTAACATCTCAATATGCTTCACCAGAAATGATGGTGCTTTTTTCTCCAGCTAATCATTATTACATTTGGAGAAAACTTTGGTTGAAATTAGCTATAGCTGAAAAAGAGTTAGCATTACTGAAATCCAGTAACAGCACAAACATATTCGCATAAAGCTGATGTGGATATTTTGAATGTGATTAGTTCATTGGGTCAACAGCTCATAAAATAGCTACAGATATTAGGCTGTTGGAAAATCTCAAAGAGATAGAAGAACCATTCGAGAAGGATCAAATAGGTAGTTCTGCTATGGCATATAAAAGAAATCCTATGCAATGTGAAAGGGTTTGTAGTCTGGCTAGACATCTGATGACACTCAATAACAATGCCTTGATGACCAATAGTGTACAATGGTTAGAAAGAACTTTAGATGATAGGTTTGTTTTTATTATTGTTATATATAACATTCAAAGAGATTAATTTATAATTAAAATCAAATATATATACAAAAATATGTGTGTTTGTAGTTCCAATTGATGAATTTCATTCCCCAAGGCATTTATTATGACAGACATATATTGGAAGGACTTGTAGTCTATCCTAAAGTTATAGAACATCATATAGCACATGAATTGCCTTTTATGGCAACAGAGAATATTATAATGACAATGGTGAAAAAAAAAGAGGACCATTAGACATGTCATGAAGAGATTAGAGTCTTAAGTCATCAAGCTGCAAAAAAAGTCAAGGATGATGGTGAAGAAAATGATTTAATTGAGAGAATTAAAAAGACTGAATATTTTAAACCAATTTGGGATGAGGTAATATTCATAAAAATTTTTTTTGTTTGCTCTCTCCCTTTAAGATGGGAGATAATCTATTAATATACATATATATTTATTTATACAATCAGCTTGAATCATTGCTGGATTCGAAAACATTTATTGGACGTGCACCACAACAAGTTGATAGATTTTTAAAAGAATATGTACAGCCATCTCTTAAACCTTATTCGGAAATTTTAACTAATGCCAAACAAGCAATTTTAAATGTTTAAAAAACCATCAAAATAAAAAATTATTGGTAATAGAAATTTTAAAATTGTGTATATTTTATATGTACATGCATGCGTGTGTATTTTTTTTACAAAAATAAATAAATATTAAAACAATTGTATTTCTAATTTTATTACTCATTTTTCACCATGTTGTGTCTATCAACATGTGATTTTGCAACTTTTCCTAATAATTCAACTTGATTAGCAACATCTCTAAGTGCGCTAAGGACTAATCTATTGCCTTTAACAAAACCATATAGATGATATTGGAGATTGGCTTCTCGACAAAATTGCATCACCAATGGTTGACATTTTCTAAGATTGTGTCTTGGTATTCTTGGAAAAAGATGGTGTATAGCTTGGAATTGCAAGCCACCATGAAACCAATCCATCCACCAAGGACAATCAACATCCATAGTTGTGCGTAACATTTTTCTTGAGAATGATTCATTGGCACCAAAATCTTTTGTACACATACCAAAATGTGATAGTGTGATTTGTACATGCAACAACATTGTTACACTATGCGATATTAAGATGTAGATTATTCCTATATAAATATTTGGTAGAAAAGATAACATGAATAGGTACCACGACCAGAATGTTATCATGCCACATATTTCCAAATTTCTAAATAGAACATTTTCTTCATTTATCAGGAAATTGACCGACAGGAAATAAAGATTAAATCTACCAAAACACAATATTAAGTAATAGATGAAATGTTGGTAAGAGATCAGAAGTTTTGCTATTGGATCAATTTCCATTTTTCTTTTATAAAAAGTTGAATATAAACCTCCAAATAGTTTTGTTGTGATGGCAAAAAATGGTATATGTTGAATGTCGGGATCATGTTCAGGATGATTTGTTACAATATGATGAACATAATGATTTCTTTTCCACCATCCAATACTCAAGCCACCACAAAATGATGAAATGAACACACCGATCAGATTATCGATAACTAGGTTGTGTGTTATACCATTATGTCCTGCATCATGTGCTGTGAATGCAAGTTGGTGCCAAAATGCTCCAAGGAAGGTTGCACTTAATATATAGTAGGAATAATCATTGTTTGGATTGTTTAATACTAGATACCATGCTGAATAAATTAATAGTATGTATTTTATAGTCTCAAGTAAATAATTAAAGTAATTACACTTGTGCAGGCCTTTTTCTTTTATTAAAATGTCTAATTTTCTATAAGCAATTGATATGTTTTTTTGTTCCTCTGACGATAAATTATAAACTTCTTCTTTCCACTCATCTTCTACTTTATTACTTTGTTTTTTGTTATCTTTTATATCTACATTTTTGTCGTCATCATCATCATTATTATTAATGTATTCTCCGACATAAAAATTGTTGATTTTCTGTTGGAATACATATTCAGGATGGAAAGCATTTATTTCATCGGTTGCATCTTTGCCATTTACATGCAAGATAGCAAGTTCACCACCTGGATGATATTTTATCCATTTGTTAAGTTTATAAACTTTATCATTATAAATTATAACTATTTGTCCATCGTTTATACATTTCTTAATATCTTTTGGTGTAAAAGTTTTTTTTTTATTTTTTAATAATGACAAATTTTTATTTTTGTTGTCAATATTGGACATTCTTAAAAAAAAAATTTTTTTTTTAGGAGAAAATATATTATTATTATTATATACTACATATCTAAAATCTTTTTTTTTGTTTTTTTTGTTTGTATTATAGGTTTGTATAGCGGGCGCACGGATTTGTCAATCTAATGAATTACAAGATTGCTTGAACGACCATCCAGATCAATTGATTCTATTGATTGTGCAATTGCATGCATATTAACTCAAAAATGTATATCGCATTATTAATTGTTTTTTTTATCAAAAAAAGATTAAGCCGAAATTACGTGCTCAATATCAGTGGAAAACATCTATTAGCAAAAATCATATGATATCATTATTATTATGATTCGTTCACTGATCGGCAATTGACAATATAACAATAATTAAAGATTTTGATATTTCTTTATATATAATGGTAGCATCATCAGATCAGATAAATAATTATCATACCAAACCTGGTTTAGTAATAATATATCAATCAAAATGGATTCAGATTGTTTATTTAAACTAATGAGAATGCTATGGGCAAGTAAATGTACAAGTGTTTTTTTATATCAAACCTTTCTTGGTAATTCCTTGTTTATTATTTATTATTTATTTATTTATTATTTACTATTAGATTTTACTCCTTTGATGAAAGTAGAATTAATCCAACAGGTCCATTACGAGTTACAACTACTAACCAAGATGGAAATTTTTTATTATTATTGGAAATGTTAGAGATACACATCTAAACTCGATAAGTCGGACATTTATTTATATTATAAAGTACTTTAAACAATTGATTGCTGCGTCCGACTTATCGAGTTTAGATGTGTATTAAAAAACTAATTTTGGTAAAATTAGTTTTTAGTTATATGAATAAAGCATCATCATCATTAAAAAAAGGAATGTTGCATTGAATAATATTGAAAATAATTTCAAAGAATAATTTATATTGAAGTTGATCTACTGTTAACATCATGTCATTTATGTAACCTTGTGGAGTGTTACCAACATGTTATTCTAAATATCATTTCTTCTATTGTAATTAATTACATGAGAATAAATTGACAATAACATAACATTGGCACTTATTAGATGGTATGATTTTATTAAAGTCAAACTTATGTCACCATATGCGAACGATTTCCACATTTAAAATTTATAATGGATTTGTATTGGTACGAAACTTTCTTTGAATCACCATCTACTGCGCCTTGTGGTCAAATTTCAAAAATGTCAAATTTTATAATTTTTTTCAATCCATCTAAAAATGCAACAATATTAATATTAAAAATATTTTTAAATCCGCAATGTTACACGACATCGATTAATACCTAAAGACAATTTTATTGGAATGAATATTTGAGTAAAATATTGACGTGTTAATGTTACTGTTACACCATTTTTTAAGAGTTTTTTAAAAAAGAGTCTGTAGATGTCATAATTTCCGCCCAAATTTAAGCGGCCAAATTCCTCGCGAACATAGTAAAATATGTGTACTAAAAAGGAATAGAACTCAACAACCCATCAACATTTTGAAAAAAACTCTATCACATTAAAGCTTGGGTCCTAATCCATGTCATAACAGAGTTATTCTTTTAAAAATCACATACAGAATTGGTGGTTGAAGAAATTCATGTATTAAAAGTTTTTTTAAATAGGTTGTGGGTTTTATAAATCATTGGGGATGGAAGAGATGGGTTAATGATTGATGGAAGAAGATACATTGTAGATTGCTGATACTCAAGTTGTAGACATACATCTTACTTATATTAATAATCCTCTTAGATATAACACAAGTTACATTGAATTCCACAACTGACACTTTTCTTGAAGAAAGTATTGTGCCAATAAAAAAACAGTATTAGCTGTGGGCATCAAAGCACCTATTTTTAGATGCACACTTATTTATTCACCTAAAGATATAAATAACCATCTTGATAATAATAATAATAAATCTAATCAAAGTAGTTTGCTTGCATATAATTCAAATATTTTTGCTGCAACTTTTCAACATTTTCATGCATTAAAGCTACTTTACCAGTCATTGACATCAAAGTGTCATGTTGATTACGTAAAGACTCTGACAATGCCTTAAGATCTTGTTCTATATGTATATATATTAATGATTAATAATCTTTTTGTAAATATTAAAAAAAAAAGATAATATATTATTTACCACCGCTTTCACTTTTATTTTTGCTATTTAACCATTGAATCTGTCGATCTAATTCCTACAATGATCAAACATATAAACTATTAATTTGTTAAGAAATAAATTAAATTTACATGGTCATAAAATCTTTACCTCAATGTTTATTTCATATTGTTGCAATCTACTTTCAAATGATAGTATCAAATCATAATAATACCTTTTAAGCAATTAATTAGTTAGATTAGTTTACTAATATACATAATAATATTAATGATAATACCAAACATAAATAAATATTCACTTCAGAAATACTGTATCACCAAATTTCCTTATATCATCAGTCTGTCCACGAGATGCCGCATCATAGAATTGATGAGCAGCTTCCATATAATTTGCTTGAACATAAGTTTCATTTAATAGATCCTTTATGATGCCTTGGTCATTTAATAAATCGTTATTTACTTGAGTTATTTTCTAAATGATGAGTTTTTTATTAATGGCCATTTATTTTTTATAAATAACCATGTGAAAAAAATCATAGTGAAACAATACTTGAAATAAGCCATAAACTGCGTTATTAACATTTTGTATTTGTGATTTAATGTTTGGTAGTGACACGGAATTAATAGATGACATTGTTTTTTTTTGATTTTGTATGTGTTTACTGTTTGATTGATCGGTATTAATTATATGTAATTTAAAATTTCAATATAAACATATAAAAATGAAAAATACTCTATGGCTGCAAGTTCATTTTGTATACTTTGAGGTAGATCAGAAAAACGAGTGGATTTCGTTATATTATTTATATTATTAATTTGAGACATTTTACAACAAAAGCCGCCTCTCAGAAAAATATACAAGAGAAAATGAAATCAATCAATCAATATTTAAAAAATTGAAATATATTATGATCTGCAAAGAGAAATTGATCAAAACACAAAACTCATTCCCGTGAAACTTCAAATTTACTTTTCGAGACATTCTATTTTTTTACATCACAAAATAAAAAATTTATTGTCAATGTTTTTATATTCTAACTACTATTAGTTGTTGTTGTTGTTGTTATTATTATTATTATTATTATTATTATTATTTTATTATTATTATTATTATTATTATTATTATTATTATTATTATTATTATATTAGATTTACTTGTAATTTAAAAAAATCCTTAACCAAATTATATAAAGCCTTCAACTATTGTCGCCATCACCATCGCCATCATTACTACCATTATACTTGATAATTCATCAACGATAATGATTAATAATTATACACCGCCAGATGATCTTTCTATAGGAATTCTTGTTTGTTCAAATTTTTTATCAGATTTCAAACGTAAATCTTTACTCTGCATCTCTTCTTTAATTGCTGCCATAAAATCCAAAAACTCTCTAAACTCAATCAACTCATTGCTGTTCTTCTTGTCCTCTTCAAACCTTTTAACTCTTGAAACCAGCGACTTCGACGAAGTAGTTGATAAATTTACACCAAAAATATTTTTAATAATCTTTTCCAAATCTTTTATATCGATTTTTCCACTACCGTTAGCATCATATTTCGAAAATATTTTTTGGAAGCTGACCAATTCTTCTGGTTGGAATTGATTACGCGAATAAATAGATTCGTGAGCTGTTGGTTTCGAGAATTCATTTTTAACTTTTTCAATGGTCAATTTGTCTTTTGATGGTGGTAATCCCATTGTATGTAGGAATTTTACTGCTTTGTCAAACTCTTCCGTTTGCTTTTTTGGTGACCAGTTTAATTCTTGACTCATTATCTCGACTATTTTTGGAAGTGCTTCTAGAGTCGCTTGTGCATTAAGGAAGGCCAAACGTGTACGACGTGCAATTACGTCCTACATAAAATAGTTAAGATTGTTTATTCTTATTCTTTATTCTTGTATTTTTTAAAAAAGAATGTAAATTAATTTTTACATACCACAACGGTACAAGCATACTCTCTTCGAACAGCGTAACGAACTTCGGCAGTTATATAAGGATAGACAGATATTATTCTTTGTCCAAAAACGGGCCAACGTATACCAGTAGGTTCTGATAAAGCTGCAACAGCCCAAGCACGATCACCATAACTATTTGATAAATGCTGAGCAACCTATTTCAACCACCAACCATCAGATTTGTTAATTTATTAATTAATTGATTAATTAATTTATTGACTGATTATAAAAAAATTAAAAAAAAACCTCAGTTTCTAAACCAAATTGTTGAATCAACTTTATAAACATAGTGCTGGAATAACCATGTGAACCAATAAGTTTAACATCTTTTGTACGTGAACCATTCAAAGGATTCAAACCTTTTATTTTTCCAAATAAATAAATAAATAAATAAATAAATAAATACATAAACAAAATTTTGTAAATATTATGTTATGTTATCGAATTTTTTTTTCTTTATATTTGTTCAAATATTAAAAAAACTATACCATAAACTTCAATAGCTTTATCAACAGTGTCCTCTGCCATAGCACGATACGTAGTCCATTTTCCACCAGCAATAGTAATCAATTTAGAATCACTGACATTAATCATATGACTTCTTACTAACTCGGAAGTATTTTTCGCGTTAGGATCACGAACCAATGGCCTAATACCCGACCAAGCTGCGAGCACATCACCACGACGAACTTTAATATCTATTTTTATAATAATAAATTAATATTTATTTTCAGCATTTAAATATATTTCTATAAATTAAATGTAAAGAATGCAGACCTGCACTCAAATATCTTTTTATTTCTTCCAATATCCATTGAATCTCTTCTTCTTTAGCCAATGGCTCAAAAGTTACGTCTGCAGGAGAATCGGTCGTACCGGCTATGACATTACCTTCCCAAGGTAATAAGAAAATAATTCTATTGTCCGAAGTAAGAGGATCTAGCAAACCCATGTTTCGAGGACTATAATAATTTGGTAATATTATATGTGTACCAGAAGAGGGTGCAACTATTTTTTCTGTTTTAGGATCATCCAATGAACGTAAACCATCTTTTTTATTTTAAAATATAAACAATTGTACAAGTAATTAGTTACATATCAATTAAACAATAAATTCAATTGTGTATATAGCCATTTACCTGCAAATGCACCAGTAGCACTTATAACTCCTTTGGCCTTTACGTCCCATTCTTCATCAGTCAAATTATCTCTTAAACGAGCGCCATTCACAGTCCCCGATTCATCCTTTAATACCTTTATAACTTCGACATGATTAGCAACAGCAGCTCCATAATAAGCTGCAGTTAAAGCAACCGCCACATTCATACGAGCATCATTATGTTGACCTGAATAAAGTTTTATTATTATTATTATTATTATTATTATTATTATTATTATTATTATTGAATGAACGGCAATGATCTGTTAAAACTTAGAATTAATATATATATATATATATATATAACACATATCACATATAGTAATCATATGGAGATTGTTCTTCCTAAAACTTACCATCATAAAAAACTATAGCACCTACTAATTTATCTTTTTTTAACATTGGAAAAACTTCGAGAGCTTTACTACGAGTTAAGAAATAACTACTTTCCAAAGCTTCTTTACCAGACAATAATTCGTAGGCTTTTGTACCAGCCCAATAATATGGAATTTGCCACCACCTAAATAATATCAAAATTTGGGTTAATTCGGATTTAATTGGAATTGAAAAAAGATATTTACCTGTAAATCGGTAACATTATTGGCAATTGTTGACTTAGGTAAGGTGCGATGTGTAAGAAGGTTGCACGTTCGTGAAGAGCTTCCCTAACTAGTTTAAATTGACCATAATCAAGTTTTCTGAAGGCTTTCTCGAGATATCGAACACCACCGTGAACAAGTTTTGTAGAACGAGAAGAAGTTCCAGAAGAAAAATCATCTCTTTCAACCAAGGCAACTTTTAAACCTCTTGTGGCAGCATCAAGAGCCACACCAGAGCCAACAGCGCCACCACCAATAACTAGTAAATCAAAAGTTGAATCATCCGAAGATGCTTTACTTGAATCGAAATTTGATTGTTTGAGCATATTCAACACTTCATTTCTTGAAGGAGGAGCCCATAAAGCATTTATTGATTTATCATCTATATTTCCTTCGAATTGAACATGTTCGGCATGTGCCTGGTTTAAGAATCGATTAGATAAGTGATGATGGTGATGATGATTTTTTTTTGAATTAATATAATAATAGGAAGAGGCAATTCCACTCGATCCAATTAAAGTAGTGTAAAAAAGTTTTTTGTTGTTATTCAAAAATTTCCACATTATTATTAATTGATTAATTTAATTAATTAATTAATGTTATTTTTTTTTTTTTGAAAATAAATATTTCTAAAAAAACTAATCGATTTTTAAAATTTTAAATTTTTTGGGTCGTATTTATATTTATGAAATGTCAACATGACACAGGATCTATGTATGAAGATTGATAAGATATAAATAAATTTACGGAGATATTTACCATAATAAGTAATTAATTATTCTTTCTCATTTATTATTATATTTATCAAAAATTAATGTCAATATTTTTTCCATGCAAATCATATGATAGAACGAAGGGGAAAAGGAAAAGGAAAAGAACAAAAATATTTCTTTAAAAAAAAATCTTGCCACAAATTTTCAATTCAATTTAATTGGTTGATTTTATTATATACTATGCAGTAAACGTAGAAAATATTTCAACGCACATGACACAATGATTTACCGGTTATAGATATTTGACATGTGCCGACCGTTAAAAACAAAAAAATCTTTGTATTGTTGTTCACCTCCCAAAAAAAAATAATGACTTCTCCAAAATATTAATAAAATCAACCACGCAAAAGAATATAGAAATATTGTTTTTTTATCAACAATATTTTGTTCCACAACTTTTCCCCACACAATATGATGTTCTGTGATACGACGAGGTATGAATCTTGTTTTACTTCTTGTTTTTCACCATTAAATTATCAATCGTAAAAAAAAAAATTTTTTGAGAATATATTCATTGTTCATAATTGTTATATTTATGCTGTGGTGAGATTATTTAAATATAATAGAGCTTATTATACCATTTATTCTTTTTTTGTTATTATCAGTCATCTATTTGTTATTATTTATAATCATTATTTTGTAATACTAGTCAAATCAGCACATGATGATTTCTACATAAAAACTTTAACTTTAAAAACGTGGATTTTTTTTTTTGAAAAAATTTTTCTTCTTTCTAATAATTATCTAATTAATAATTATTTATTTAATTAATAAAGAACAAAATTGTTCTGTAATTATGAGCGAAGAAAGAATTTCTTCTTCATCACCTTCTCTTCAATCTTCAGGTATTATTATTATTGTTATTATTTCCTAATAATTAAAGTTAATTAATTGATATATTCTGGTTAGCAGGTGTAACTTCTGCAGAAGAGCTAGCCGAAAAATACCAAAAATTATTTTCGGAATATTCACGGTTAGTTTCAATGGATAATTATTTTCTTTGGAAAAAGTTTATTTATTTTTTGTCGGAAAAAATAGGATCAAAGCTCAACAATCAATACTTAAGAAGGCTGTTATTAAGGTAAATTTTTAAATGATTATTTCGTTGTATATTGTTTATGTGATTTGAATTGAAAATTGGTGTTTTCATATAGGAACAAGCAGATAATGCGTCATTAAAGGAAGAACGTAGATCTAAAGAACAAGAATTGCGATCAGTAAGTTTTTTCTTGCTTCTTTAATCTCGAGAATCTTTCATATCGATTAACTTGCATTTATTAATAAATAATTCTTTTTCTTTCACAAAAAAAAAACATATAATATTTTTAAAGTCTTTAGAACAATTAGATCTTTTGACACTTCATAATCAACGTTTAACAAGACGTATTGAAAGTTTGCAAGATTCAAGCGGTTCGGTATATATAAATTCATTAATCAGTCATTGTTTTTTTTTCGCCAAACTTTCCTCAAACTTTCCTCAAATATTTATTTGCCTCCCTCTTCTTCCCTAGGAATTAATGTTTATTTTTTATTTTATTTTTAGAGGATATCGTCTGGTTGGTTTTTGGGTTCCGCAAAAAAAGAGCTTGAACAATTAAAATCTAATTTGGAAGCTGCTACAGTAGAGCTTCAAAGAAAGATTGAAGAAAATGGTATTGTCTTTAGTATTATAGCATTTATATTATATGTGTATATATATAAATTTACAAATATAATTACAATAAATATGTTTGATTATTATTAAATGTAGAAAATTTACACAAGGAATTGTTTGAAGTTAATAATAACTATTCAGAAGATATTAAAGTTTTTCAATCAAAAATTTCTGAATTAGAAAAAAGAGAAGAAGAATTACATGTATTTATTTCATTTTCATTATTTATATTAGTACTAATTATTTGTTTAACAGATAAAGTAATATTATTATTATTATAGTCAGAATTTATGAGATCACAACATGCATCTGAAGAAGCTATAAATGTTTTGGGAAGAGAAAAACATGAACTTCATAATGAAGTTGATAAAATAAGAGCTGAATTAAACATGTAATTATGTAGATAAACTGTGATGTATATATTAAAATAATTATTTATACATGTAAATAATTATTTATACATGTATAATCTTTTATTTTTTTTTTATTTTTTTTTTGCAAAGGACGAAATCATTAATGATAAAGAATGAACAAAAAATTAAAGACGGTGATAATGGTTTACGATGTGAAATGGATACACTTAGAGATATTCTATCACTCCATCTAGGTTTATCCGATGACAATAAATTTGATCAATTTGAAGTATTTATATTATTAATATACTTTATATCTAATTTTTAAACTTTTATGATCATATTCGGCTTAGAAAGTTATATTTTTATTATTTTGTACAAACCATTAAGTTAGGTTTATCAAGTAAAGTAGAAATTATAATAAAATTCGGCTTAACGAAAATAATTTTTATTAAATATGATTTGGTTAGCCAATTTTGCATCGTTATAAAGCGAAAATCGATTTATGGTAGTTCGGTTTATCGAGTTTGACTGTATTCCTTTTTTCGTGTCACTCAATAAAAAAACCAACAAATCGGAATTCATTCTTTTGTTACCCTGGTTAAAAATCCAAGGTAACTACAATATTAATATATATTTATTCTCCTTCCTTTTGGATGGCCTTGTAGTGCAGCTAATTACAGAACTAGTAAGGCATGAGTCCAGGCACTAGTACCTAGGATGACCTAATCAGAAAATCGGTTGACCCAAACAGGTTGACATAACCTGATTTATATCATGGTAAAAAATTTTAATAATTATGATAATAAGGTATATATGATTTTGATAGAAGGAAAGGAAAGAAAATTAGCGACATTGATTAACTCAAATTAAAAAAAATATATGGATATTTAAAAAGTGCAAAGTCAAACAACAAGGCAGAAAAGGCAAACAACACAAAAAATTGATTTTTTAAGCAGAGTAATGAACATTGATTGTTGCTTTACTAAATTCACAAAGATCAATGGCAACTTTTTTTCCTTTGGATATGGATTTTTAATATCATTAAGCAAAGCTAAACCGCCTAAAATCATTTAGACTGTAAATGTGATAAAGCAGCTATTAAAATATTTACAACGATAAACCAAACCTCGGAATTTCTTAACGTGACACGTGTATGGCGTCACGTATCATTGAAAAACAAGAGTATTATCATTTGGTTACTTCACAAAAGTAAAATAAATGGTTGGATAAAGCAATATACATTATTAACTTTCCATTCTGTAAATAAAATAGGAATATTAAATCATTAAATATACCAAATGCATACCTCAAAGACTTAGTTTTAAGGTTTATCTTCGATTTTTCCTATCCAACCATCATCACGACTTTAGATCGTTTTATGTGCTAGTCGATTTTGCTTTCTATTATTCTGGAAAACAGGCTGCCCTCTTTGTTCTCGTACGCCGCATTACTAGAATTCACGGGATATGCTTGATCCTAATAATATCATTGCCTTTGATAACCATCATATATCATGGAGCAGGACCTGTAAAAGTACTATATCAAAAGTTTGTCATTAGCTGCCAACATTTAGGATTAATAAAGCATACGCCAGCCGAGTATATCGTTTTTTTCATTTATTTGGTTTAATGGTAGAAATGCCGATCCTATTCCGTTGTTTTTTGGTATGTTCTTTATGTGAACACGCCCCTTCTAAACCACAACGTATCTACGCTCTCAAAGTATGTAAAAGCATTTGTTCAACCTTGTGGAATAGAGATGTCAACGCAGCAAGGAACATACGTAACAGACATCTTTATCTATATGTACAACAATAATGGTCAACATCCGGATCATTTCATATGTTTATTCTACTGAAATTAAAACAACAACGACAAAATAATTTTTAATTTTTTTTTAATTTTTAATTTTTTTAAATATAATTCTACCCGAGACTGGAGTGGGAGATTCGTTGTTGTTAGCGGTAGTTTTGAGTAGACAGCGCATGATGGTTAATAACAAGCCTCTATGAAGCTCAGTACATCACCCCAGTAACGCATATATGTTACACATATAGTCCACGAAAGTGGATATCAGTTTTGAGAAGCGTTAACAACCTATGATACAAATAAATATAAATATGTATAATAAAATATGTGACAATTTTAAATTCTGACATGAAATGTAAAAAAAAAAATAAAAAAATAAATATATAAATATATAAATATAAACAAAAATAAGAATTGATTGTCCATTTTCTATTCAATCTTTTAATTCTAGCAATAAACTTTAATAATTGTTATTTTTATTATTTTTTTGCTCTTCAACCCAACTCATGACTAGTTTTTCATGACCTTCACGTTCTTCTTTCAATTTTTCCTAATAATGTTAATAAAACGTGTTAACGTTAATAAATAAATTATGATGAAAAATCAAAAATTCTGCGTGTTTCATTATTTACATTTAATCTATTGATATTATCACGTAAATCTGTTTTTTCTTTTTCACTACTTGATATATGAGCTTCTGCCTCGGCTAATTTTTCTTTGACACTTTCTATGGCATTACTTAATCTTAAACATTTACTATCAGAATATTCTAACTACAAAATAAATAAATAAAATATGCAGAAATTAATATACAATAAACATTAATTTATAAGTTAATTAGATTTAAATAATAAAATACCTTCTCAGTTAATTGTTGTATTTTCTGCTCGTATTGTTTATTGTTCGTCAATAATTCGTCTTGATTAGTATCTTGACTGTCATTATCAGTTTCAGCAACACTCTGTAATATTCATATATTAAAAAGATAAAAAAAAATCCCCAATAAATATATCAAAGAAGATGAAGATGATAGTGTAGATGGAAGTAATTATCTAATAATTACCTCTATATTGGTGCTTGTATCATTAGATTTATCTTTAATATCTAAATTTTTCTTAGTTTCAATTTGTAAATTTTTAATTTCTTTCTCAGATATCTCCTAATCACCAAATAATAATTAGAATATTATTCAAATATATTGTATAAATGCACATATGTATGAATAAATATATTTATATATTTTCTTCACCTTTTGAATTTTCAATTCTTCCTTTAAAGATTTGATTGTTTCATTTAAATCAATCTCTTTTTCGTTTGCCTTTTGTTTTTCCAATTCCAAAGATGTGATTTTTTCATTTAAACCAATTTCTTTGTCTTTTTCCTTTGCCTTTTGTTTTTCCGATTCTTCTTTTAGATTATTATTTTCAGATTCTAAAGATATTATTTTATTAGAGTTGGCTTCCTCTACCGCCCTTTGTTTTTTCGATTCTTCCTTTAATTTATGATTTTCATCCTCCAAAGATACAATCTTTTCATTTAGATTGAATTCTTTATCTTCTATCACCCTTTGTTTTTCTGATTCCGTCACCTTTTGTTTTTCCGATTCTTCCTTTAATTTATGAATTTCAGCTTCCAAAGATGTGATTTTTTTTTTTAAACCAGTTTCTTTGTCTTCTTCGCCCATCCTTTGTTTTTCCAATTCTTCTTTTAATTTACTGTTTTCGGCTTCTAAAGATATGATTTTATTTGAATCAACTTCTTTATCTTCTTTTACTATTTGTTTTTCAAATTCTTCCTTTAGTTTGTTATTTTCAGCTTTTAAAGATACAATCATATTAGAATTAGCTTCTTCATTCAACTTTTGTTTCTCCGATTCTTCTTTTAATTTACTAATTTCGGACTCTAAAGATGTGATAGTAATAGAATTAGCTTCATCTTTCATATTTTGTTTCTCGAGTTCTTCTTTTAATTTATTATTTTCAGTTTCTTCATTCAACTTTTGTTCTTCCAATTCTTCCTTTAATTTACTATTGTCAGCTTCTAAAGATGCGATCTTTTCATTTAAATCAACTTCTTTATCACCTTCCATCTTTTGTTTTTCCAAATCTTCTCTTAATTTATTAATTTCAGCTTCTAAAGATGTGATAGTATTAGAATTAGCTTCTTCGTCCATCTTTTGTTTTTCCAATTCTTCTTTTAATTTATTATTTTCAGCTTCTAAAGATGCAATTTCAATTGAAACAGTTTCTTTATCTTCTTCATTCAACTTTTGTTTTTCCAACTTTTCCTCTAATATACCATTTTCAGATTCCAAAGATACAATCTTTTCATTTAGATCAATTTCTTTATCTTCTTGTATCGACTTTTGTTTTTCCAATTCCTCCTTTAATTTATAATTTTCATCTTCCAAAAACACAATCTTTTCATTTAGATTTGACTCTTTATCTTCTTCTTCTATCTTTTGTTTTTTCAATTCTTCCTTTAATTTATTATTTTCAGATTCCAAAGATGTGATTTTATCAGAATCACTTTCTCTGGCTTCTTCTTTCAACTCTTGATTTTCTAACTCGCTCTTCAATCTACTATTTTCAAATTCTAATGATATGATTTTTTTATTTGAATCAATTTCTTTGGCTTCTCTCACCTTTTGTTCATTTTTTAATTTACTGTTTTCAAATTCTAAAGAAATAATGAGGTTATTTGAATCGATTCCATTAGCTTCTTCTTTCTTCTTTTGTTTTTCTAATTCATCTTTTAATTCATTTATTCGACCTTTTTTTTTAAGAAAAAATATAATTATTTTTTTTATTCATTTCATAATAGAAACTTTTTGAATTTATGAGATTAATTATAAATAATACTTTGTGCAGATTTTAATTTTATAGCCAAAATCTGTAAATTTTGTTGCCATAGCTGACTTGCTTTTTTAACTTTTGTAGCTAATTCATTTACTTCATCAGACTGTTTATTATAGATCATTTATAAGATAGATAAATAAATAAATATTTTG